CTCGCCGGGCGGCGGCGCTCCCGGCCCCGCTCTCCGAGCAGCTTTCCCAGCGCGCGCAGGGCAAGTGCTGCTGGGCTGCAGCCGCACAGCCTGCAGCTGGGAGTACGGGTGTTTTCATGGGGATGGAAAAGGCAAAACAGATTTCAGAATGGGTTTTAAAATCCAGGCAGGAAGTTTTAACGGAGCCCAGCGCAGGGAGGGGGTTGGTGGCAGTCTCTCCCACGAGCGATACAGCTTAGGGGAGCTCCGCTTCCCAATCCCAGACCCCTCAGTGCCTGCTCTTTGCTCCTCGCTTTCATCTTCCTCTGGAAAGTCTGGTTCCCATAGGACTTTTGGAGAAGACTTTCATTTTTTGCTGTTTTTTAGCCCAAGCCACAATTCAGCCCTAAACCTACAGTGAGGGAATGTGGCTGTTCTGGTGCAGGGAAACACGGATGCTGCAGCAGCGGAATGGGCTCTCCGGGCCAGGCATCTACGGGAATGAAGCTGCCCGTCTCCCTGAAGCCGCCGCCGCTCGCTGACATGATCTTGACCAGAGCAGCAGGAACGCTGCTCTCTTAATAAGCATAAAAAATTAACAAAGTCGCTGAAGAGTTAATCACTTTTTGATGGTTTGTTTTATTTCTGTTTTGTAACAAATGGCTGAAATCAATTAAACTGCTTTACTCTCAACTGATGAAGTTAATTATGATTTGTTATGGTATCTGATATGTAAATTATTAGAAAGCAGACTTACATTCGATCGACTGCCTGCAGGCGGTACTGGATTAATCATTGTGTAGATGTTGTCACTTGAATTTGTTGAATCTGTGGAACAGTGAAGCCCAGTAAGTCGGGTGATTAATTCATTTCTTAATTAAAACAAACTCATGCCACTTGAACTCATTCTTTTGTATTTTATCACCTAAAATTCCCTTTAAGTACCACCATTTTCTGGCTAATTTGTATTTAATGAAGATTCACAAAGTTTTTAATCACCGAAATTCAACTGTGAAAAATAATTCAACTTCTAACGGGCGACTGCGGGGCCGCCTTGTCAGGGGAGATAATTTGTTTAACACCTCGAACCTCCCCGCGTGGCGTTCCCGCTGCAGAGTACGGATGGGGAATGTCATGGCGGGAGCGCCGGGGCGAGCGCGGGGACGGGCGCCCCGTGGCAGCGGAGGGGCAGCAAGGGCCGGGTTGTTTCACAAGGACCTGGCATGAAATGTAGGTCAGGGCTCTCATGAAAATGCAGGAGCCGCAGAGGCACTCCGGAGCGCTCGCCGCGCGGCT